CAATGAGGAGCTTCATAACTTGTAATCTTCTCCAAGTATAATTAGAATGATTAAGTCAAGGAGGATGAGGTGGGCAGGGCATGTAGAACGAATGGGGGAGACGAGGAATGCGTATAGGATATTGGTGGGAAAGCCAGAAGGTAAAAGACCACTGGGAAGACCAAGGCGTAGGTGGGTGGACAATGTTAAAATGTAGCTTAGAGATAGGATGGGATGGGATGGATTAGATTGATCTGGCTCGGGATAGAGTCCAGTGGAGGGCTCTTGTGAACACGGCGATGAACCTTCGGGTTCCATAAAATACTGGAAAATCCTTAAGTAGCTGCAGAATTGGCGGCTCCTCCACAAAGGCTCAGCTCCATGAGTAAGTAGCGTCACTAACAACCTCTTCCTCAGAGTCTCCTTAACCGCTGGTCGAAAACATTAGGTTCGGTGAGACATGAGCTATGGCCTTGAGATTTGCAGCAGCTTCGCCTCAGGAACACAGGTTGGAAAGCGAGTGCTCCGATTGGCTGAACGTTATGTGCTGACTTCCATTTCAGTCACATTGGCCCGTTTATAATTAGGCCTCTCATTTTCACGCATCTCAGAGAACATGTCCTACCGAGTTCTAAAATTCTGTGTTAAAGTTTTTGTGACCATGCTGTACCCGGACGACAGGTCAGTAAGCAGGCTTTAAAATAACGTCACTGTAATATAATTACAAAGCCTTTACCCCTCCAGACCGTACAGGGTTGCTTTTGCTGATGATAAATATGGGGTGCTCAATTATTCATAACGTGTACTTAGCTCATTTCTGCGCCAAGGCACACAGTTCAATTACACAGGAGGATGCCGTTATATGAAATTATTTCCAACAACACAGGTATGGCAGAGCACAAACAGAGAACATGTACTGAGCTATTTCACGGCGGTGACTATGAAGAATGCCGTCTTCTGGGATGTGGGGCAGTGTAGATTTTGTGTGAACCGACGTTTCGGAGGAATGTATCGCCTTCATCCTCAGGGTAGAAAAATCCGTGAATGAGGAACCAGCGTTCAGTTATTCAGTTATTCAGTTATTCAGTATAGAGGGGGTAGGTTTCTCCCCAGGAAAATCATTTAATTCCTGGTACTCATTTCTGTTAGAGGCTGAGTAAACCCCAGGGCCTAGTGCGGCCGGAAGGATTAGGTCTATTGAAAAAAATCCAATGACCTCATCGGGACTTGAACCCGCGACCTTCCGACTTGTAGCATAGTACCTTAACCACTACGCTACCGCGTATCCCCTGCATTTCAACACGAAACACGTTAATATAAAATAATTTTTAATAATATTTCTAATGCTTGTACTGTGTTTACAAAATGTTCAATACGTGAACAGTACTGTCTTCTGTGATACAACTCCATGTAGTCTGACATCACAGAAAACACACTATTTCCCCTACTACAAAAAAAAAATGGATTGATTGATGTTTAGGGAAATAATCGCTATTTACTCTGACGGTTGTTGCATGTTTGGGGTTGATCCAAGTAGTCTTAAAATTTATAGCCATGTTGGTCCATAGTTAGTGCTGCCAACCTTACAAGTTTATTTGTAAAAAAAGTAAATTCCAAAGCCTAACCATTGAATTTGTCTTCAACAGGTCCACAATGCTAACCTTTTGACTTTAAGGAGTTCTGGCGATGATGCATAACATTCGAAATCAGTAATTCCAACTTCTGAGTTTGTTTTTAAAAATAATCATCTAATAACCTTCTAAAGTTAGGCTTTGGGTTTTATTTTGGCATGTGAGTTTCAACGGTTGGCAGCACTGATGGAGCGGTAGGCTTTTAAGGCGACGTGGGTCACCGGTTACTACATATACTCCATTCTGAGAACCATATGCAATGCAGAAGAACACTCTGTAGGCAAAATAAGGTGTCACTGCGCAGTAAAGCCGATGGTATGCAAAGGTAACCCTCGCTAAGCCGGTTTAATTGAGGGGGTGCTCATCCGGATTATTGAAGACAGAGCCGTAAAATGAGGGGAAAAAAATAAAAAAATAAACAGTTGGAAAATTTAATAATAGAGGTTGTTCTTACTTCCTTACTTACTTACTTACTTACTTACTTACTCACTCATGGAGTGAGCCCTTCTGGAGGAGCCGCCAATTCTGCAGCTACTCAAGAATTTCCCAGCATTTTATGGAACCCGAAGTTTCATTACCGTGTTCACAAGATCCCTCCACTGGTCCCTATCCTGATCCAGATCTATCCAATCCATACCATGCCATCCTATCTCTCTAAGGTCCATTCTAATATTGTCCACCCACCTACGCCTTGGTCTCCCCTGTGGTCTCTATCCTTCTGGCTTTCCCACCAATAACCTATACAATAGAGGTTGTTCTAATGAAAATAAATAATAAAAAAATATCACTTCAGCAATTTCTTCCTCTGTCTGAAGCTGAAATCCCGGGTCTCCTTCATCCAGCTGAAGCCAATCTTGGGATATTTTCTTGCGTGGTTTCACTCTCTCCAGATGCCCTCAACACAGTCTGAAAGTCCTCTTGCTCCTAAATGCGATGTGCCTTTTTAAAGTATGTACTCAACTGTGAACAGAATTTTTCAATCTTCGATCCGGTTTAACCGACATGTGGATTAACTGTAACCGGATTAGCGATGGTTTACTCTATAGCAACTAATGGGCGTTAAAGCGTTTTAACAGTTTCACCCGTAGTTTGACATTTGCTTTCGTAGTCGAGACATTTGGAAGCGGGGGGGGGGGGGTTCATGTTACATACTTTAATTTCACTGGTTGTTCGGGGGCAAGAAACTGAAATCAATGCACACGGCACATATTTCTAAATTCGCCTGTGAACCTTACCCATTCAACACGAATCACATACAAAAAGTAGCGAGAGCTCCCCCCCACCCTCGGGATAAAATGGCCGGGGGAGTGAGAGCTCTCAATTCACCTTTATTTACTGCGTGAAGCTTAATTAATAAGCTCCGGGATAAATTTACCTTTAACTTAAAACTTTTAAACTATGCCATATGTAAAGACGCCTTATTAGCTGGGCAAGTTCTCTCAAACGGTTAACACTTCTGACTTGTATTTGGCAGGTGCTTGGTTCGAATCTCGACAGCGACACCGACTGTCATAACAGAGGATTTTCGTAGCCTTCTTTAACCCCTCAGCAAACTCCGCGGTAGTAAGTCTACGTATGCCACAACCACTACCTTTATGTCCTTTTTTAGTCAGTATTCACTTACAGGCCTACTCTTCAACACTACATAGCCCCAGGTACGAAAACCGTCGTTAAATACATTACTGACCTTTGCATTTACGTTCATATTGTCACATATCAGCCCGCGTAGTTGGCCTTCGGGCATAACCGTTATACGGAGACAGTGCCCGTTACAACTAGGCACGTCAGTAAAGTGGCACATTTGACTGCGGATCTCCCGTTTCTCTCGCTACTCCGAGCCGGGGTGTCTGAGTCGTTGGCTACGGAACTGACGCTAAGCTGGTTCGGTTGCAAGCCACTACGGCAATACTAATAACAACAAGCTGATAAATTATGAAATTAATAAAAACAAATTTTAGTTTTTTAGTCAAATGGGACCCAAACGAAACTGAACAAACTGTGTTATATGATGATGATGATTAATTATGTGGTTTCCCATTTGTACTCTAAGCAACTGTGTAGCGTCCTGCCAGTTCGTCAGTCCATGTACCTGAAGATGTACATTTTCCGTTTTTTTTTGTAAGAATACAGTTAACCTGGGGGATATCTTTCTTTGTGTAATCATTGTTAATTTACTTTTCCGCTTATTTATTTTATTTATGTATTTCGTATTTATAACGCATTTTAGTACCTGCCTGTAACAGACAACTGCTATGTTGAAGCAAGCTAATAAATGAATCAAATCTAACTAAATTACTTTCAGTACGTGTAGTACTATATTTCTAATTGGTCCCTCACTAAATTCGAGCGAACGCGCTCATTAGGTCCTCACTTTACTTACTGAAGTATTTTCAATAAAATGCATTGAATATTGTCGAACTTTGATTACTTGCCAAAGCGGGTAACAGGGAAAATTAAGTAACAAGAACTTTCATAATTTCATCGTAACTCTACCGTAATTTTGTAAGGTGGTAACATTCAGATAAATGACACGAGAGAAAACAACAGAAGGCATAGCAGAGCACGTTTATTGCTAACATTACACTAAGTATATCAGACCAAATAATAGACGGAAGGATAATATTAAAATGGATGTTAAAAATAGGCTGTCTCAAAAATTGGTAAAATATATATTATTATGATCATGGTTACGAGCAATTGGGCTCCGTAACTATACAGAATCTCAACATTAATTTTACTGTGCCTTATTTAACGACGCTGCCGGTAGCTATACTATATAACGTAGTTTATTGGGGCTACAAAGGAACGTCGAATTGGTCACGGTATATTTCTTACATTTACCTAGAGGGACCACGGAAAAACTCAGATAGTCAGTGTCCTTGTCGAGTATCGAACCGAGCTCTTCTACGTCATTTGAACAACTACTGTTATTTAACACCCTCTATCACGGGGGATAGTCAGTCATCAGTTAATTAGTCGTTACCGGGTTTGAATCCGTCTTGTTACATTGGTCAGTATCAATCAATGGTATGAGAAATGTTCTATTCATTTGTAAAGACAGGTTGGCAAGCGTTAATTGTGAATCTGATGGATCAACTGACAGCAATGTTAATTTAACATCACCACTCCAATCCATTAGCATATCGTGTCATCAAAACATGGGGAACCTTTCAAACTACATCACAATGTAACAGAGACAACAATGTTCGTTTTGGAATCCAGCCATACCGTATATACCCTCCCATCAAGCCAAAAACTTCAATCAGGTCCACTAATGTCAAGTTATAAATATACACGGGCACCGCTTGTATTTTGTTCTGCTGCACAGTAAAGACGGGGGCCACGTTCTAAAAACAGCGTTATGATATTAAACAATTTTCAATAACTAACCTTTTTCCCATCACGAAATTTTACTGTTCCCTCGATGACAGTATTATTATCCATGCTGAAGGTTTAAAAAAACACTATTTAGAACATGACGCACACAACTATATTCATACACACAAAGATAATTTAACACACGCAACAACACAACTTCGGTTTGCGAGGTGCCAAACACACAGCAGCCTCATTCAACGCACGCACAAGACTGAGTCGGGTTTCCCTCCAACATGCATTTCAGCTCCCCACGTTTCTCGCTACTTCGATACTGCTGCCATCTGGTTATCAGTATCCGTACTTCGTGCTCCGGTTTCGCCCAGGATTCGCGTTCAAGGCGATGTTTACACTCTCCTACTCTGAACACGGAGGCAGCACGTACCATCGAAAGGTTTGTGCCCATTTATATCTGAAATCATAACTTAAGACTCTGTCATGAGACACTCTAACCTCATTACCCACATCCTGACGAGAGAAGCAGTAATTTCCTTCGTAACCTTGGTTATTTATGTATCAAACTACACGGCGTCACGTCCCAGAAGAGTGTATCATTAAGATGGAGGCAGCAGGGTCCTCTGAAACGTCGATATAAACCTAGTCATTACAAGTCATATCCCTGATGACTCAGCTGTCAACACCTTGAATCTCATTACCCATCTCCTGAAGATGGGGACATGGGATTACTCCGAAACTTTTGTACCAATGTACCAAACCACACGGCGTCATGTCCCAGGAGACTATAATATTAACACTCGCCCGCTCGAGCACCGCAGATCTTTCAAAGGTAAAGTTGTCACTACGCCATGAAGGTGTATGGGGGATGGAGGTACAGATACGCGTATTCTTGACCTCTGCGCTAGTTGGAGGTGTGTGGTCAGCTTCACTCCCCGGCCGCTTTTACTTCCGGAGGAAGGGACTCCAGTTCTTATGGATAGGAGGCTGGGTGGGCCCCAGAACGGGTCTGGACACCACGAACCTCTTACAGGTTCTAGACTGACAGCCACATCGGTCTGTGTCGGTTAGTCTTTTTGTGGCTTAGGTTTCGTGTGCAGCATACCTTTCCTCCCTGTGTTCCTGTCACTTCATTCTACATTTCTAAGGAAAAGAAAAAGAAATCTCTGACAGACAATGAGATGAAAGCGTCACGTGACGAAGGAGGCAGGGAAGGGGGACGTTATTGGCCGGAGGATTAAGAAGGAAGATTCACCATGTACGGTGTGGGGTTTGGGGGGGCGGGAGGGGGCTGTCACCTTGAAACGAAGGGCGAGAATTTAAATTTGGGACGAGCAGTGTCGCGTGTCCGTTCTGTAAGAGACCGAGGTTTGTATTTGGCTCACTGCCAACATTTGTGAAAAGCACCCAGTCGCTTCTGTCTGTCTGTCTGTTTGTTTGTTTGTTTGCATACAATCATCCCCCCCCCCAACTGGATAGATTTGGGCGATATTTTGTGCCGGGGAGTTTACACTGAAATCTACAGGCGTATATCAATTTTGCTACAATTGGAACAAAAGTATATGAGAACCCAAATTCGCATTTTGAGAGTATCTTGCTGTCTCCTGCTCCTCTGTAGTGAGCACACTGGGGTTGCCATGGTAACCAGCGAGGCTCTGGCAACAATAACAATCACGCTGAGGATATTTCGGCTTATTGGTTCTTCCTAATATTTAAAATCAAGGAGTGTAAATAAAATAATATTCAAATTTGTAAGTGAAAGAGACAGAATAGTGAGTAGGTATAACAACCGGCTACTAGCTGGACGGCCGTGGGTTCGGAGTTCAAGTCCCAGTAGGGTCAAGAGTTTTCTCCTCTCCACTTCGTCCAGAGCACTTCTGGGGCTCACCTAATCTCCTATCCAATGGGTAAGGTGGGCATGAAGCTGATCATAAACCTCTAACTAGTCCTGAGGTCAAGAATACGTGAACCTTTACATCCACTCGCGCATACGTCTTCATGGTGCAATGCTTAATTACGAGTAGTTAAGCGTTGGGACAATTTTACCTTTTTCTCTTTTTTTTTTCCTTGGCACTACAGCCCCAGTGGGCCTAGGCCTACCTCCATGAACTCCGTTCACTTCGGTTTTTCTACATCTTACACATTCGGTAGGACTCCTTGGGCGGGTGATCAGCTCGTCGCAAGGCCTCTACCTGTAGACAAACACAGAAAAACGCACAAAAACATCCATGCCCTGAGTGGGATATTTTACCCTTAACAAGGAGAAATACACTGAAACAGTGAAAACTTATATAGACAAAACATCACGATTAAAAAGCGGTGCAGGCATCCGATATTACTGTCACGTGATATGCGTAACTACTGACGGGGTATGGATTAGTGAGTGGATTTACTGACCACTTATATACACGACTCGGAACTACAAGTAATTACAGCGCCCCCGCTACTCAGCACTCACTACTTCTGTTTCCAGCGTACTGTGTCTTCACCAGTCATTCTCTGGCAACGGCTTCTAACACTGGAGATTCTTCAGCGTCACGTGCTCAGGTCCTCCATCACAGCCTCCCGTGCAGAACTCAACTGAACTGACTCTCCGGTCACTAAGCTCCAAACCACCCGGTTATAACATCTCAGCACGGACCATCTAGAAAACACATTTCGCCTACTGTTGCTATATTAAGTTATACACGGATATTATCTCGTTCTGTGTGCAGACTGTGTGCCACTTCGCGTGTTACACCTACAAATCCAGTGACATTAACATGTTGAAAGAAGTGTAAGAAACCAATGCAGAAACACCCCGCCTCGTGGTTAAGAACACGTGATACCAAACGAACTGACGTAGCCCTACATTTATACATTCGTATTCGGCACTTGCTTGGATCAAATCTGGGCTGAGTCACAGACATTCCTGAGTAAAGTCTATATCGGTTTTCCTCAGTTCCTCCAAGAAATTTCAAGGCTACTACCACGATCAAGCAACGACTTTTCCCTTCCAAATCCCTTTCAATTTACGACAGTCCTACTGATCTACGCTGTAAATGTACACACAGGCAGCGACTGAGAATAACCAATAATACAAACATAGAAAATTTGGAAGGCGTGGAGTTTAACCTCCTTCCATCATATTCAGGGTAAAATAGATGACCAAAATGTCGATATTAACTATCAAATTGCACGGCGTCACATTCCAGAGGTCTCTAATCATGAGCAGGAGTTGATTAACTAAGTTGTACTGTTCCGGCGAGCTGTTGCAATCTGTACATGAGAATGTGACGTGTTTACACGTTCGTGAATCTGGCCGGCCCCATGTATCACTGATGCTTCGATGCCCTTGTCAAAAGCTTTCTGGTGAAGTGAATAGCTGGCAGAAGCAAAACATATGACTAAATCGTTCTATAGATTGTATTTATACCCAAAGTAAATAAAACATGACAACCCAGTACACCATATCCACCATCTATCTTACGAGTACTTGCTTCTGTGTCCCCGTGATTTAGTGGCATACCGCACGCGTGAAGCAAGCACAAGGATATCGAGCGGCAACTCTCTAAGTCTTTTACTCGGGAAGTATTCGCTTCGATTCTCAGCCGGGACAGCTGCTAACTTGATCGAAGTCTTTCATGGTTTCATTCGGGTACTCAGCTCAAATATAAGAGTAACCTGGTCATTAGACTATGACAGACTCATTCCAGATCTTTACCAATTCATCAGGCTATGAAGTCAAGATACTGACTGCGTCGTAACATGAAACACAAGAAAACAAAGGAGGATAGGAAAATGTCCACATTCAGAGCACCGTATTGTCAGGTGTATGTGACTATAGACGGGGTTTGTATTGGTGAATGGATTTAGTGATCACTTACACTCAGTTAGTATGTACAAGTAATTACAGCGCCAGCCTTAATCTTCACAATTCACAAATCACCACAGCACCCGCTAATCCTCTGTCCAGCATCCTGTGTTTTAAACAGCCGTTCCCTGGCAACGACTTTAACAGTGGAGATTCTTCAGCTTTACTCCCTCAAGCCCTCTCTTCAGAGACTTCCGTAGGGAAACTCTGCTGTGCTTTCTAGTTTATTATAATACCAGAAGTTGGAAGAAGGCCAAAAACACAGTAATTCTAAACTTTTCCTTTGCTCAAAACATATCGGTATGAACCAAATTGAAAACACAGCTCGTGTTTATTCCTGCGGGAACGTGTTTACCTATCCGTTGCCCAGAAACGGCCCTGGTACATCCACCGATCTCGCGGGCATTCCATAGCAACGATTCTACACCCTACAATATTAAAATTAGATTTCCCTCAGATGTGACGCCTTATAGTTTGGTATTTGCTGCCTCAATCTTTAAGGGAGAAGTCTTCTAGAATGAAAATGGAGAAACTAATATTCAATCGAAATTTTGGTACCTATCTACGAAAATACACGGTGTCACATTCCAGAAAGTCGAAATCTCAACTGTTACCACTGTGAGAATTTCAAATCGCATATAGAATGATTTCTATCTTCTGCAGTGTTATTACGCGTAGTCTGGTAGAAAGACACGAACTTAGAAGGGTATCCTGAAGATGCAGACGGTATCCTACAAGTCAGTATCATTCATACTCACGTGATATCTTATTTATATATCCACTGAATGGTTCGTCTTAACGGCCAGAATTTCTATCAGGCTGCACACTTTAGTTCAGGCTTAAAATTTTCCATCCCTCGGAAACGTCACGTAAATCCTCTTGCCTTCAGCCTCCAGCCTCCAGAACAAAACGGCAATCATCTGTACCTCGTGCCTCAACGTGCTAGAACTCTGCATTCCGTCCACAGAGTGTATCTGTGTGTTTCTTATAGTTCTCACAATAAACAGCGACTGTTTCCCTAAACAGCATTAACCGGTTGGTCTTTGTAGCGGAGACGTGGTGTTTCCTGTGAGGTACGAACTGAGTTTATATGTATATCTGTGCGTCCCGTATGGTTCTCACAATAAAGAGCATTAACCGGCTAGGCTTTGTAACGGAGACGTAGTGTGTTTCCTGTGAGGTACGGACTGAATCTTTATATACAATTTAGAAGAAATTTATTTCCTGTAACAAAATTGGTTCCGTTAAAAAAATCTCTGGTCGAGGTTCTCAAGGGGCTTGACGCCAAGACGAACTGATTGGCGGTAAGCACCCAGTCGTAAAATAACTTTGATTTTGACTTTGTTTCCTATGGTTCACATAAAAACAGTAAATGTTTCATTGAACAGC